CCATAAGCACGAATTATCGTACGTTTAATAGAAATTTGAATTACGATATCGTACATCGTATTTGAAGCAAAATTATCGTATGTCCCCATAATTATCGTACAGGTTGGCAACGCTGGTTGATTGCCTTTGGTTTGATGGCTGCAATATTGACCTCGCCAGCGATGTTGCTAGTGACTTCGAGTGCATAAGCGATTTCGTATGCAGCGATGGAACTCTCTGGTTTCTCTGCGATGATCTCATTACACATTTCTCTCGATTCTGCGAGCATTTGTTCAATTAACATTCTTTCTAAAAATGTGCGGTACTCACAATAGGTGACAGCTTGCCATAATCTCAACGTAAAGCTGGCGATTGCATCTTCTGGATTCCGCACGATGCTCCGTTTGATGCTCTCAGCATCAGCGTACATTTTGCGAACGGTGCCGAAGTGGACTGTCTGCTTTTGTTGAATCTCGTTGTAGGTGAGAGTTTCGGGTCGTTGGGACTCATGAGAATCTTGAAGGCGTGATTGAATTCGATGCCCATGTAGACACGTGCGAATTGTACGTACTTATTATCAGGGAATTAACTCAGATTCAATGACCAGATAAACTGCGTGAAATAGTCAGTCATTGTGGTCTTATCGGCTGCGCGGTATGTTTGTATGGAGAATGTTGGCGTTTCGGGAGATTCGTTCGAGTAACTCTGGTGAGATTTCCGCCATGGTGAAGAATGGTACGGTACAGCTTGATTAACGCGCATGGCGATGAACGAAGTTCGATGTTCGTCATCAGGTTAAGGTTAGGATGCTGCACATGGATACACTTTCACTCGGGTACATGTTATTTATCTATCCCACTCCTGAATTGAATCGTACAGAATAAAGAAACAAAATTTTGGAATAATATTTATACAACGGTAATAGTCGTTTAAGTCTAAAAATGATTTCAGTTCTTTTACTGTCTTTGGTACGAGAAATTTATTGATAGAAGAGATTTTGTCGGGATTTAGCTTTACCTATTTCTTCGGTCGTGATTACGTGTCCTAAAAACTTCTTTTCTCAAAGATTTGTGTAAATTTAAATTTTCATAGATATTTTAGCATCTAGAAAACTTGTATTAACTCTATTAAACATTCGTGTAGATATTTTAAAAATATGACAATGTCGTCCATGTTATAATGAAAGAAAATGTAGTCCCGCAGTACGGTACCTATCATGCGTTAGAATGTAGTGGATGCGTTTTTTAGTCCAAACACTGTACGATCATTACGAGTATATATAAAGATTATGTTTACATTCTAAAATCGACATTTTTATAAAAACATAAAGTATTTTATACTGAGGAAATAATTCAAATTAAATATCTTAAAGTATCTAACCATAATTTTATTCGCCCACTTCATCACATTACCTAGTTAACTAAATAAGTATTACAACAAATCTAGAAATGTAAACAAAATACATATATCATAAAGTATTTCTACTTAATATACTTATTCTAAAACCAGCGGCGGACCCAAGAGAGGGGATGCATAAGGCTGTAGCCCCCTCCCGTCGGCCGGACTATTTTCGTTGGATATTATGTACGTCACGACAAAACATTGTGAATCACCCTCTCCCTCCTCTTTGTTAAATCTGACTCTTTTTTAGGTTGCAAATCATAAAATCATTTCATGTCGTTTATTTCTTATCCCAAAGCATTTCTTTAGGCATAAGGCAATCATTTAATGACTGAAACGTAGTCATTCTACTAGCGGTGGACTTGGTTGCGAAAAATAGTCTAAGTATTATGTCTAAAATAAAAAATTCAAAATTAATTCTAGGCCATTTGAATTGCACAAAAAATATAATAATAATACTTTTAAGAATAGTCAGCTGCCTAGATAAAAACCTGTATAGAAAAACAATTCACCTAAAAATCATTTCAGATTCAATAAAATCTATAGAGTTAATTAATTAAAAACAAAAAAAATTGTCAGCTACTTTTCCGAAAGTTCTAAGCGGCATATAAACTGAGTATGGTGCAATCCAATGTAACGTTTAACTAACGATCTTGCCCCCTTTAAATAAATAGCTGACGCATATTTTTACTTCATTGTTTAAATAATTGTTTCCTGTGACCTAAAATCAATTTTAAATGATGATGATTTTAATCCTTTTTTCATAGTAAAGAAATTTTATTCACAAATTTAGCCAGCATAGAGTATAGATATCCATTACGATTCAAATATATGAATTAAAAATATACATCAGTTGTTTATTTAAAGGGAGGAAGATCGTCTGTTGGCTTATGTATTAATAGTGAATTTTTTGTTTCATAAAAAATAGATTACAATCATGCAAATCATGTTACAATAATTCCAAGTCAAAAGGGGCAAGTTCGTCAGTCAAACAGGAACACTCCTTCCTGGACTAGAAATTTTTTGTAGTGTAAACATGCCGGCCGGTCAGAACAGAACATCTGCACGATAGCTGTACTTATTATATCTAATAAAAAATATATCTGCAATCACTACCGACCTGGGGTCGCTTTCTAAAATACAGCCTTCGCAGAAGTAGAGATGATTATTCATATTCGATAAAGACCTAAAAACGAGCACGCGAAAAGTGATAGTGGAGACTTTCCCAGAAAAAAAAAAATTGCTCATTTATTATTTAATTTAAAATTATATGGTTACAATCAGACGGAATTGGTGAATCCCCCCCTATTTCTCGTTGCTATTGGCTTACCTCCAACAGGCATTAGAAGCGAAAGGCTCGTTTATATTTGAATGACCTTCGTATACTTAAAATATATATATAATCATCATCATCATAAGGTCGTCAGTCTTAAGACTGGTTGGATACTTCCACTCTTTCCTATCCTGAGGTAATTTTCGCATTTCCCTAAAACTAGAATAACCCACATCCTTAACTATTTGCGAACAGTATTCTTATCTAGGTCTACCTCTACTCCTCCTAACTCACGTTTCTGCCACTAATATGTATCTGACTAGACCTTCATGCCTATATCACCTATTTTTTATTGACTTCCGTAGAGTCCTCTGTTGTCCTATTCTTTCTAATATCTCTTCATTTCTAACCTTCTCTATCCACGATATCCTCATCATTCGCCTGTAACACCACATTTCGAACGCTTCTAACCTTTTTTTTTCGCAGCGCCCACCATCCATGTTTCCCACTCGTACAGCACTGCGCTTCAAGCATACTCCTTTAACAATCTTTTTTGAATTTCTAAATTAACCGTTCGCGAGCATAGTAGTGACTTCTCTTTATTGAAGCCGACTCGACCCTGGGCTATACACTGCTTTATATCCCTATTACTCCTTTCATCTGATTTCCTAGATACCTAAAATCCACTTCTTCTAATTTTTCGTCTCCTATCTTTATATTCGCTCTTTCCCTACTTTTTCTTCCCTTGCATACCAGTATTTCTGTTTTACTTTTATTTGTTCTCATGCAGTACTGTTTTGTCAATACCGCTTCCGTTTTATTTAAAGCTATCTCTAACTGCTGCTTGCTAGATGCTATTACTGCTATATCATCTGCAAATCTAAGCATACTAATCTTTTACTCCTGCATATCTATCCCTACAATTGTACTGTCTTTAATGATGTTGATCGCGTCTTCGATGTATATATTAAAAAGTAGCGGTAACAGTGTGCATCCCTGTCGGACTCCCTTCCTAATAATTACTTCTCTACGATGCAGCACCATCTCTATAACTACCTGTTGCTTTTTATACAAATTAAGTATCACTCTTCTATCTCTGTAAGTTGTCCCTACATTTTTAAGTATGTTTAACATCTTGTCCCATTTAACACTGTCAAAAGCTTTTTCTAAATCTACAAATTCTATGTACGCACTCTTTCTTTCTTCTATTGTTTTCTCTATTGTTATCCGTAAAGTTAGAATTGCCTTCCGTGTTCCTCTATTTGTTCTAAACCCAAATTGATCTTCCCTTAATAGTTGTTCCGCACTTATTTTCCGTCCCCTCTACAATTCTAGTTAAGATTTTTGACGCATGGGAAGTTAAGGTAATTGTTCTAAATGTCTCGCACCTATCCGCGCTTCCCTTTTTAGGTATGGTTACTACTACGTTCCGTTTAAAATCCTCTGGGGCTTTCTCCGTCTCTTAAATATGACAATCTAGCTTAAACATACGATTTCTAACCTCATGTCCTGCATGTTTTAGAATTTTCTCATGTATCCCATCTATGTCGCCTTATTATTTTTTAAGTTTTCTAATGCTACATCGAAGTCTTCTCTTATTATGGGATAACCTATCTCACACCATCGCCCTTGTGTAATAGGTATACCTCCTAACTCATAACCTACGCATAGGTTCTCTAAATATTCTTTCCACCTATCAAAATGACTCCTGCCTCGTTTCTTATATTATTATTACTGTACCCTACATCTCTAAAATTCCTTTTAATTATATTATAAGCTCCATCGGTTTTACCTACTTTTCTTCTACTTCTTTACACCTCAAATCAATCCACTGTTCCTTATCTGCCCTACACTACCTAATTATTTCGCACTTTATAGCCTTATTTCTTTTTTGCCTTTCTTCGTCTGTCACGTTTTTATATTTCCGCCATTCTTCTATTAATCCTACAATCTTATTTGTTATCCAGGGTTTCTAACTTTCGCTTTGTTTCAGACCTAGTGTAACTGAACTGCTGTGTTTAAGCACCTTTTAATGCAGTTCCTTTCTGTCTCTGTCTCTGTCATTCGTTTCTCCCACCGCCTTTAGTACTTCGTCTGTCCTTGTTCCTAGCCTATCAGGCACTTTGCTGATGCTTGAATAAAGTATTCGAGACGGCTATGTTATGTTTATCGGAAATCAATCTACCTCCTATATCATTTCTACTGTCAAATCCAAAAGAACCCGCTATTGCGCCGTCTGTACCTTCATCTATTACTGCATTGAAGTCTCCTACAACTAGTAGGTTTGTTCTTTTACTAAACTGAGCACGTCTTCCATATCTGCATAAACTGCTTCTATGTCTTCATCATTGTAAGATGATATAGGCATGTAGACCTGCCATATGTATATATGAGAATCATTGTAATCTAACTAGAGTTGATAAAAGTTCAGAGGGCAACATATTTTTGATATATAAACGTATATTATGTACATTGTTGGCATTAGTTAATTACAAATAAGACCAATTTGTTATAATGCGTAAAGTTGCTGTGGTTGGTTGCGGTCCAATAGGACTTACTACTGCGTGTATGATACAAGAAAAATTACATAACGTTCAAGTTATAATTTACACAGAAAACGAAAGTCCGAACACTACCGGAGATATTTCAGCTGGATTTTGGACACCTGTATATACGGAAAACACACCCATTGAACATGTCATGTAAGCCTACTAATACTAAGTTGTTCTTGTAATACTCATAGGTAATACATTAAAACACTTACCTTTACAGTTATAATAACCCTTTCCTTTTAAAACCAAAGTTTTAAAGAGTATAAAGCATTAAAACATGAACATTCTGTTATTTCAGGAGATGGTCTCGACGAACCTTAAAACATTTAATTGAATTGTGGAAAAGTGGAAAAGCAAACGAAACTGGGTTATCATTAGTTCCAGTTTTAATGTTAAGTGAAGAACCCAATTTCTCTGTTCCAGAGTGGTCTAAAATAGCTATTGGATATACAGAATTATCGCCTGAAGATATACAAACGTACTGCGTAGAATTTCAAAAGAATTTTAAGTATGAATTTAACTAACTATGTTTAAATTAAATATGAGCATACTGCATCAGATGTGTAAAACAAAGTCATTATCCAAAAAAGTACTTTTTTATGTAGTTTACACATCTTACCCTTCTACAAAATTTTTTATTCTAGAGGAGGTTTCACCTACATATCGTTTACTTGGGAACCTTCCATATTTCTGCCGTATCTTAAAAAGAAGTTTCTAGAAAAAGGAGGTATAGTCGTACATAAAAGAATTGACGACATCAATCAACTTTCACATTTCGATGTGATTGTTTATTTGTACAGGTCTCGATGCTAAGTATTTATTACATGACGAAAAATTGTACCCAGTTAGAGGCCAATTGCAAAGAGTAAGTAAAAATAATTGAGAAATTTTGTATGTTCCTGCCGAACGATAAAGTATTAGAGTCCTTTAATTTAGGTTTCAGCACCTTGGTTGTTTCAAGTAATATTTGACAGTGAATGCTACATTATACCCAAGTAAGTAAACTAAAATATAATCAACTCTTAAAGTTAAAAAACATAAAATTTTCAGTATTAATTGCGTTATCCTTGGTGGTACAAAACAAAAAAATGACTACGAAACAATAATTAGAGAAGACGATAAAAACAATATTGTCAAGAGGTGCACAAATTTGGAGCCATCGCTTAAAGTAAGTATAGAGCACATTTTTATTTTATGAATAGGTATGACTTTATTAAAAGGTATTTTTCGAATGAACAATGAAGTTAGGACGCAGTGGCAAAGAGCTAACCAACAAAACTTGTTAGTTAAATTTCTTTTCCTTCCCTTATTTTTTTACTCAAATTTCTTTATATTTCCATTGAGATTCTTATGAGGAAAAAAGGAAGAACAAAAAATAACAAAAAAGAAATCATTTGACACCAAAACGTAAGATTTTTTTAATGTGTCCACAAGTATTTAAAGTAATTTTCAATGTACAAATAACCTTCAACGAACAAGAATTCTTTTGGTACAGAAACTAAATTATATTACATTAGTTGTTTTACATATAATTTATAATAAATTAAAATAAACGGAAGCGGAAAAACATTGTTCCTACCGGATGTCCCATGACACCATACTTCTTACTTATCTCTTTGTCTTTATGGTTCCATTCGTATTAAATTAATTAATCACAACATCCTTACATTTGAGATCATTTATTTACCTTTTAGGAATCCATATTAATCAAAGACATGGTAGGCTTAAGGCCTTGCAGAACAGAAACACGCTTAGAATTAGAAATTTTGAATTTGAACGAGAAACATTTACCCATTATTTATAATTACGGACATGGAGGAAGTGGAGTGACATTTTCGTATGGTTGTGCTTGGGAAGCTTGTGATCTTGTGAACGACGCTCTTAATATTATTAATGCTAAAAATAAGTCAAAATTGTGAAACATATTTTTGTACATGACCTAAGGGGGTGTAGCGGGATGGCGCAGAGCTCTAAGGCAGAGCCGGGCAAACTCGGCTCTTTTGACTCCCGAGTGTTACTCAAGTACACCTAGGAAGCTCCACATTGCTCCTAAGAGTGCGAGTGAGATGATTCTTTTTTCTTATCCCTTCCATTCCGTAGGTAAGTCCCCTTTTCCGTAGCCGAACCATTGGGTATTGCGACCATAGTCCAGCACACTCCCCCTGAACTGCGGGACGATCGTTAGAAAATTTTCGTAGATACTGTTTGAGTTGCGATAGGGGCTTCGCTTACGTACGGGATGGAGGGGCTTGCTATGGGGGTGGAAAGGAGAAGATAAAGAGAAAGCAATATGAGTCATATTGCTTATTCTCTCGTACTCATTTAAGGGTATGGAGTAACCCAAACTAACCTCAGGTGGCAGCTCCTACGAAGTCAAAGTTTGCCCGGCTTTGCTCTAAGGGGTGTCAAGCGACACGTATCAGTAGAATGTTTTGTTCTGTGAAAAGTTCAAAATGTTTATAAGGGAAAGAGAACCCATAGACACACTTTACAGCATCTTATTTTTGTTTTGTATTTTATAAATATAATATAGTGCTCTTTCATAAAGCAGTGGTTTTCTCCACCACAATCCAAAAAAGCAAAAACAAAAGATGCATGGAATACCGTAAAGCCGATGGACTCAAAGTTTTAAATACTAGGGTTCTTAAAATTTCACTCAACTTTATTAAGCGGTTTAAAAGGTATTATCGGCTGGAACAGCTGATACTACAACGTTTAACAGTGCCCATCCTCTAAACTTAGGCCAGTATAATAAATAAATTGATATTGCTTTTTTTCAAACCTCGATAACTCTGGCTATACAAGAGGGACTATCAAAAAAATTATCTAGGGATGCAATGAACACTAAGGCCGGCGCCCGTGACATAATAAATAGAACTAATAAATTACAAACCGAAACACTCACTCAAAATGAAACAATATTCTCTTTCTTCATTTACTACAAACTACCTCAGTTCAATAAGGGATTTTATTTTACTGCTGGGACCTTTGGCTTTACCTACCAATGCTTTGATGTCACACCTCCATATCAGAACAAAAAAATTCTCTCATTGACCTAAGGTAGTTTGTAGTGGATGGAAAATTGAAAATGAATCGCATTAATGTTTCATATTATTAGTACCATTACTATTAATAATTAAAGATGTCAAAATATTCTCTGTTTCAATCTAAAAGATAATTTGCATTTTAAGGTATAAAGTTACAAACGTTCATTTATTGTAGGTCTATAGGTACGTTTTTTGTTTCTTAATGGATACGGTCACATACATAATAGCGGCTGCAATGGGTTTTCCCGTGACTCATTCTACTTCGATACTTGAGTTTACAATTCGGTTTCCACAAATAATAGCATAACGTCCTAAGTACGCCCTCAGATGTTTATGAAATTGAGAAATAAATTTTTGTGTTTACATCGTCCTTTTCATCGTCAAGTTGTTTCAAATAGTAGCACCGGAATGTTTTAAAAGCGTGTATTCAGTGCTGCGTAGTCAAACATCTTTCTCAGTAATAATTTTATTTATTTCTTGTTAATTGACGTCACTATTACTAATTAATTCACTGATATATCACGCACTATCGCTTCTTCGCTCTTCTTCCTATTTTGCTGTGTCGTCTGATAACTAGAACTTGAACTACAGACAATTGTTCCGATCTCGTGGCAACTATTCGTAGGCAATGGACATTTTCTAGGAGATCCATCCAAATATGAATTTCCACCTCATATTGTAGCGTTGTGAAATCCTAACAACTTGAGCAAAACGTTGGCTGCGATTCTCTAAATAAATACAGTACTTTTAACCCCAGTATTCAATTTAAACAACATTTTTCTAGGATTCCGGAATGTGACATCTAGAAAACCTAATCTTGTTTCAAAAATTCATTCAAAAATCCCTGAAGATTATTCGAACGTGGGTTCCGATAATTGCCAATGCTAATACACAAAGACTAAAACAGTCGATCTCGCCCGATGCACCGCCCCCCACAACATTCACTGACTCAACCAGTAGCGGCTCATCTAAGCGTGACGTTTGTGACGCAAAGCAGTATAAATACCAAGACCTGCGCAGACTTCGACCTACCATCCTAGGAAGAAGAACCCTTGAAGATGTTGTCCATGCGTGTAAACGTAACGTTAAGAGCAAAAAATTTCGAACGACGGCCAAAAAGCGCGATAACTAACAACTGGTCTTGTTTGTTACCATGTATTTTGGAGTTTTTACACGTGACAACCTCCCCCTCCCTTCTAAAATCAGTGAAATCATCTCTGTAGGGATCAAAACGGTCAGGATGAAAGACCTTCATTTTGGCTCGAGGTTCCTTTTGAATTCGATAAACAACGTCGTTGATTCACTGAATAACGATCGAAGTATGGACCATCCTAAGCTTGTTACAGTTTCGGACAACGCTCATTCCGTCCTACTGGATTATATAGCCACATTTTGTATTAGTCGTTCTTAAAGTTTACGCACCCATTCGTCTATAGGTACTGAAGAATCTCCTGAACGACCAAGCATCACGTCTGCCAGTAGCCTGAGTTATTTCCCAAATAAAATGCTGGCCGGTGTTCTTCCAGTTGTTTCATGGATGACAAATCTATAAAGTAAGAGAAATAAGGGTATTCTGTTAGTTAGTTTGGTGGTCTTTGAAAATGTTTCTAAAGTTCTTCAGAGTAGTGTTAAATTGTTCAACCATCCCATCATGCAACTCTAATGGTAGCTAATGGAACCCATGAGCCATGACTACTTTTACGCCGTTTACTGATTCCGACAACAGCCAGCCGGTACCAAAATAATACACCGGGAAAAGTTAGAATAATTGTATTTTAAAAAGGCGAGAAGTATAAGTTTACAGTACCAACAGTTGACAAAGATTACCTTGTGACTTAATGACTTACTTATTAGGCTAACGAATTAAACGAAATTACAAATACATAAACAACTGGGTTTCTGCTACTTAAAACGATAAACAAATACAGAACCTGTCGCTCTCGACGAGAATGAGTTTTATCATAAACAAACAGCAAAATATTAATTCTTTATGTGTGTCTCATGTGTGCCTCCAACATTCTCCCACCTGACGAATGATACATTTTAAGTGACTCAGATAAAAACCAAGAAACACGCATAATGAAATACAAAATGTGAAATCTGTTGGGTAATCTACACTATCGTCCACTTCGAGTAATATAGCGCACCGCACTTTCGGATTCTCTGCTTTTGACGTCTTGACTTGATCATCAGTTCGATTGAGCCCGGGATCGCCACTGACTGCATCCTCCATAGAGATTGCTCTCTTTGTCAATTCCAGAGCCTCTGTGGTGGGACTCGTACACTCCAGTGCATAAACGCGTTGTACAGGTCTTAACAACTGCCCTTAGCTGTCTGTAGATGTACCAAACAAACCTCTCCGTCCTTTCCAGGAAAAATTTCAATCACTTTCCCCATTGACCAGTCCAAACGTCGTTGTCGTTTCCCACAGAGACGACTTCTCTCACTGAGATGTCACGCCGCGGATTCTTTGAGCCCAAAGATTTCAGGTGACCCAGGTATTCGTTTCGAAACCTCCTACGAAGGTCTTCTCGAAGTTTCTGTTGGCGCACCAGTTTCCGACAGAACATGGCAAGTGTTAATGTCACTAGATCGTATGGATAATTTGACACATAAGTAAAAGGCCTGAAATTAATTATGACCTCGCACTCACAAAGAAGCGTCATCAAGTCCTCGTAATTAAAGGATGCGCGGTCAAACACTTGAAACAGGAATTTCTTTACAACTCCGATTAACCGCTCCCAAAAACACCCCACCACGCGGACGTAGGTGGCTGTTGACAACGAATTTGTTAGTTCCAAACTATACACGGCACAAGTGAACAGGCAAATCCATATATATAAGAATATTGAACCCACAAAGCCCACTCCCGTAGTCTTGAACACAACCGCGTCACGAACCCGATCCAACGGCAAAGGCGGTACGTCAGTAACAAACAGTTTAACACTATGTTTTTTGCAAATAAGGCATTTAGATGTTACCGACCGTACAGTTCGCCGACCACCGATAATCCAGTATTTTTCCCGCAATAGGCTTAATAGTCCTTGAATCCCAACATGAGGTAATCTCTGGTGTAAGTCAAAAATAAAACTGTGCACGATAGGATGTTTGGCAGGTAAAAGTATTGGAAGACGAAAATCCACCATCTTTTTTCCCATTGATATCCGCGATCTTAATCTAAGATCGCGAAAAGGGTTCACACTTCGGATTCGATTATCGGACTTGTCAGAATAATCTTCGAATTGTACAATTTTGAGCACAAGAGTTTCTGCGGGCTCTACTTCATCCGTCGTCAAATTTCCTGACGTTTCTGTCTTGTATTCCGAGAGTTAAAAACAAAACGAAAAACCCAAGCAATTGGTAGTACTATTTGATCATATTTTGCGAAATGTTTCAAGTGTCACTCATCCGTACTAAGGCCCAACATAACTGCTACCAAAGTTATCTTTCTTTCTTTGGATATTTCGTCTTCATCACAAATAATGTTTCCTTGAGACCATAAATTTTGTGATCCACGCCATCCTCTAGACAGAAGGTCTGCAGGGTTAAATTGTACAAGCAAATGTCTCCAAGAATCTACTGGGGTCAGCTGACGGATCTCCATGATGCAGTTCCACACAAAAGCTCCCTCCTGTGTCGACACGTCAAATCCATGAAATATCCGTAGAGGATTCAGTTCAGAAAAAACACTCACAGTCCAATTCAGAACTTTTCTTTATACTTGCATGTAGTTTGGCTCCAATTGTGGCAGCTAATAACTCTAAACGGTGATCAAGCAGCCCTGCTCGGATCAATTCGTCCGCTCGACCTAACAGTGCGGTGTGTGACTCGGCCGTTTATCGAGACGTCCGACCCGTCTTGACACTTCTGTGACATCCTTCTCTCTTTCTCTTTGCGCACTCTTGCTGCTGATAGGACGACGATGTTATTATTGCTGACTACGTCGCCGGGCTTCGCTTTAAAAGTGAGCACCCGCCTCTCTGCTTACAGCACCCATGGGATCTCTTCCATGAGTACTTGGATTGCATTGGTCGAGACGGTTTGACACACTTTCAAGCACGCTATGAGTGCAACCCCTTCGCATCGCCTCTTAGGTATCATTCCCACATCGTACGGAGCGTCTGGTAGCAAACGCTTGATCCGTACAGCGCACAAGCTGTCAGCAAGCCTTTGAATACACAGTGGATAGCCCGCTTGACTAATCCCCCCTCCGTGCGCAGTACTCTTAGCAGGGGCCGTATTACTATTAGCAGTTTGCCCCTTAATGCTTCGAGGTGTGGCTGAAAAGACAACCTATCACCCATACACATACCGAGGTATTTCACGGTGCGCACATACTCTACTGTGAAATTGCGGCTTCTCAACAGTGGTGACCGGGTATCGGCCAACCTTCTCTTCAGCAGCAAACAACACGTCTTCTGGGTCGAAACAAAAACGTCAACCATCTCTCCCTACCGCACAGTTATACCTAGAGCAGTACTACCTCGGTGTTCCAACTCCTTCCTGTTACTGCCCTCGACTAAGACCAAGAGGTCATCGACGAAGGCAACAACGCTCGCCCCCTCAGTCTCGTATTTTCTTAGAAAAACATCTATCATCAGATTCCAGTATTCCGGACCGATGACGGTGCCCTGCGGACACCCCATTTTGACCTGCTTAATTACCTGCATTCGTGGTCCGTAGGCTCTAACCTCTCTTTCGTGGAAGTAGCTTCTTCACAAGACTAGCTCCATACACCCCACTCGTTGGAGGTTCGCGAAAATACGGCCCCAGTGCAACTTATCAAACACTCTTGAAAAGTCTAATATGGATTATCTACTACTACATTAGGCCGGACATCCAAGTCAATCTGCCGAACTGCTGGATGTCGAAAATCCCACTTCGTCTGGGTGAACTGTACGCCGAAGCCCCTCTGGACACGGAAGCTTCCCATAATTTTGTAAACTCTCACTTGGCCCAAGGCTTCGACACTCAGTCCTTTTTTACCTCCACCGCAAGTTCGCAAAC